TTTTTTCTTCATAAGTTTAGCATATTGAGTTCCCACATCGAGCAAGTTGCACTGTATATTAAAATTGAAAACTTGATTAGCAAAACTATAAACTTAATAAACTAATATGATAGCTATAATAATACCAACAAATAATTTTAAGTTAAATGGTAAATATGGTACATAATTTTAATTTACTAAATTTATTTATTATTAGCTTAAGGCTTAATTAAATCTCGGCTATTACAAACAAGAATTTGCATCTTTGAATGTTATATATTAACAAGAACAATGTTATTTAAGGATTGGTATTTAGGCTGTTTTAGTTTAGTGGTGAGGTTGAATAATAATAACATTGTTAGAGATTATCCAACCTCATCAGATGCACAAGACTCGGCTCCAACCTCCTGATATTCTCCTCAACTAAAATCTCCTCAAATCATGGCTTTTGTTATACCATATATGTACTATAGCTATAGTTAGCTTCTATGCCTAAATAGTCTCCACTTTCTTAGCATGTAGTTAAAACAAACGTATCATATATTGGTGTATATATATTAAAGCTTATTAATGAATCAGAGTATGACTGTTTACCAAAAATATCTTATACAGTCTTTAAATCCTTTATGGTATCAAAGCAATAAAGCTCCCACGAGCAGATTTTTTTTTCCTTATTCTTCAAATGGCTGAAAACAACCAAAACCAAGTCCTGCTTAATGCCAATCTCCTTGCACCACATCTCATAACAATTAACGCTGCAGCCCAACTTCCTGTCAAACTATCACCAAACAACTATCCATCCTGGCGAGCACAATTTCACTCCCTACTAATGCTACTGAATACAGGCAAGTCATTGGGTCCCTACAATATTTGTCTCTTACTCGTCTGGATATCTCATTTGCTGTGAACAAACTTGCTCAATTCATGCATTGCCCAACCCAAGCTCATTGGACAGCTACAAAATGACTTTTACGCTACTTGAAGAATACTATCTACTTTGGTCTTCATCTGCGTCGCAATCAACCATTATCACTACATGCTTTTTCTGATGCGGATTGGGCCGGTAATCTTCATGACCGAACATCCACAAGTGCTTACATTGTTTATCTCGGCGGCAATGCTATCTCATGGTCTTTCAAGAAGCAGAAATCCGTTGTTCATTCGTCCACTGAGTCTGAGTATCGCGCTATCGCCTCCACAGCAGCTGAACTCTCTTGGATCACTTATCTTCTTCAAGAACTCCGCATCACTGTTGCTCCTCCTACTATCTACTGTGATAGCATGGGCGCTACGTACCTGTGTGCCAATCTAGTGTTTCACTTGCGTATGAAACATATTGCCATAGATTTTCACTTCGTTCATGACAAGTTGCTGCTGGTCAACTACGAGTCTCTCACGTGTCTATCCATGATCAATTTGCTGATCTTCTCACGAAACCGTCTACCCATGATCAACTTGCTGATCTTCTCACGAAACCACTTCCTAAACAGCGCCACATAATTCTCCGGTCCAAGATTGGTGTTTCCAATGGAAGTACCATCTTGCGGGGGCATGTTAGAGATTATCCAACCTCATCAGATGCACAAGACTCGGCTCCAACCTCCTGATATTCTCCTCAACTAAAATCTCCTCAAATCATGGCTTTTGTTATACCATATCTGTATTATAGCTATAGTTAGCTTTTATGCCTAAATAGTCTCCACTTTCTTAGCATGTAGTTAAAACAAACGTATCATATATTGGTGTATATATATTAAAGCTTATCAATGAATCAGAGTATGACTGTTTACCAAAAATATCTTCTACAGTCTTTAAATCCTTTAAACATGTGTTCGAACGAGTGTTTGCATCTTTGAATGTTGTCTAAGGATTGTATGTTCGAATAAGTGTTCAAATTTTATAAGTGCATTTGAATGTTATCTAAGGATTTGAATGATAACAAGAACAGTGTGCAAATCTTTTAGCTTTTAAAAAAAAAAAAAAAAAAAAAAAAAACAAAAACAAAGGCCCTGTTTGTTTGTGTTTCTATTTCCATTTTTCACGTTTTTCGAGATTAAAAAATGAAAACGCTTGTATAAAATGCGTTTGGTGCAAAAGTTTTTAAAAAATAAAAAAAAAAAAGTTTTTGTCGTGTACTAATCTGAAAACGGATTAAATCCGTTTTTCATTTTTCAGTTACATTTTCTACCTTCATTCTTTTCTCTTCTCTGACTGCTTTCTTCGGAGCTCAAATCGTGGTAGTACGGATCTCATCTGCTCCGGCGTCGATTGCCGGCGCGAGGAAGTCAGCCCCGTGGAACGGCGGCGGCGGTGGGCCGGCGGTGATAGAGTGCTCGTCTCGGCCCAACAAGAAGGCGACGGCCCACCACATGAAGACTCGGCTGAAGAAGACGCAGGCCTGGGACATCCAGCGAAAGCCCACCGTCTACGCTCCTCTCTGACTGGCCCGCCACCATCTTCTCTGATTGTCCGCCACCATCTTCTCCGACTGCCCGCCACCGTCTTCTCCGACTGCCCCCCCTAACTCCTCTGCGACTGCGGCCCCTCCGACTGGCTCCCCTTCTTCCGACTGACACCCCCACTCTTCTGCGACTGCGCGCCCTCCCTCCCCCCGACTCTTCTA